CAGAGTCCCTCTCTCTCAGCCCTAGAAAGGAGACAATGGCAAACCACTTCTGAAATCTTGCCAAGAAAACTGCAGAGATTTGTCCAGGCAGTCAAGAGGTGTCAAGACTGACTTGAGGGCACCAAAAAATTTAACAGAACCCAGTAGATTAGTTTGTTCTTTTTTCTTGTCAAGTCCATGTTGATTTTTGGTAATTACACTATTTTCAAGATGCTTTCAAAATGATTTTGTTGTAATCTGCTCAAGAATCTTCCCAGGTACAGTATCAGTGCCAGACTGATTGGTCTAAAGTTTGCTGGATTTTCCTTTTTCCCCTTTTGAAGATAATGACATAATTTGCTGTCTCCAGTTATCTGACATTTCACCTATTCTTTATAATTTCTCAAAGATTAAAAAAAAAAGTATTCAGCCAGACTGTCAGTGAATTGTTTCTTCCGTACCTAGGTGCAATTCATCTAGCCCCAGAGATTTAAGCTCATTCGAAGTAAATAAGTATCTCTTGATTATGTTTTTATCAGTTTCAAGGTTTGGTCCTGTCCCTTCAATTTGTTCTTCACAATTTCCTGATAGAACACACACTTATTTTTGTTGGAGAGGATTGAAACAAAATAGGAGATGAATAGCTCTATCTTTTTTTTGTTGTTGTTAGCATTTTGTCTTCTTCATTGAGCAACTGGTATAGTGATGCTTTTCTTTCCCTTTTTATTTTGAACATGTTTAAAGAAGCCCTTTTTGCTATTGTTAGCATCCATCACTAACCAAATCTCATTCTGAGTTTTTGCTTTCATAATACTGATTCCAGTCTACTTATCTACAATTCTAAACTACTTATCTCTGCTATTCTTTTGTGATGTGGCCCTTTTTCTGTTACCTGTACGCATCCTTTTTTGTTTCCAGATTTTCATTAAGGATTTTGTTTGGCTACATTAGCATCTTCTGTTGTCCTTGTTTTTTTTCCTCTTAACTGGAATTGTTTGAAAATGTGCTTTTAGTATCTCCTTCTTTAGGAGCTCTCAGCTATCTCATTCTCTTTTTTTCATTAGCTTCTCCTGCCATGTGATTCTCCTTATAACTGATCTTAATTTATTATACTCTGATTCTATAGAACTCTATTACTACCGTACTTGGACATGTTCCTCCCAAATCTCCTACTGCTTCTACTTCTTCAGCTTCAGAGCTATCACATAGAGCAAGGTATCATACACGGTGGGTGTCCTGCCTCTGTTCTTCTAGAATTCAAATCTAACCTAATCAACTAGTTTAAATTGGTTAAGTATATATGGACATGTGCAGTTCAGAAAGTGAATGATAAAAGTTGTAAATATGCATTTGTTTCTATCTGGTCTGAGAACAAGTAGTATTCAAGGTGTTATAAAGACCCTCTTTATGACTCTCCATATAACATGAATAACCATATTAATCATATGTGATTTTAACTATGTAAATATAATTCTAAAATATACATGTCATTTCAATTAATTTCTAATTTTTAGTGCTAGATCCATCCATTACATTTTGGAGCACACCTCTTAATATGTAGTTCAAGTGTTGCTCTTTGCTCAGAAAAAGGGACACACCCCTGATTGATATTATCTGTTAAAACAGAGTGAATAAAGTTTGTCAATTCCAGAATAAACCGCTGGCATAGAAATATAGCAGCTATCTGAATACGACAGAGGACAGTGAATGCTAGATATTGGCCCTTTGAATATTTGTTTCTTTGTTGATATAAAGTCTTATTGAAATTCCTAGTTTCATCAGAAAAAAATTAACACACTCAGTGGGCTGCTTCAATTATCTGGCAAGTAGCCCAATTTCAGCACTTGAATAATTTCCCGTGCACAAAGTGAAACTGAGGTGTCCACAGGGGTGTCAAGATGGTGGTCACAACCATGTGATTGAAGCCTTACCCTTTTTTATATGGGTCACAGTGCACATAAAAAAGGGCAGGACTTTGATCCCATGGTTGCAACCACAATCTTGACTTTTTTGACCCCCCTCCCAGCAAATACCCCTGAAGTGAAACAATGTCCAAAGAATTGCCATCCCAAACCAGGCACCAATTGTGGGGACTTCTTCTATTTCCTTTCCATTGTTCCAAGACAGGATTTGTCATTTTGCCACCTTACCTGTCTGTAGGAAGACAAATTGCTTTCAGCTTCAAGGCGCAGATTAATCTCATCCTGTAATCTTAAATGAGAGTGAGAGAGAGAAGGGTGGAAAAGTAAGGCAGGTTTATTGAATGATCAGTACTCTTCCACCAGAGGCTATAATCAAGGACAAACATCAAGTTCAAAGCCTCCATGGAACACTCAAACCTTTGCAAATCCTCTGCAGTTCATACACACTCATTCTCCAAACTTCTACATGCAATAAAAGGTTTCAAATAATAATAATTATAGTAACCTTATTTTTTTATGAATACATTGAAGGCCCAACAGGATTCATAAGGAGGGAAGGCTTAATCACCTTTTCCCCCTCAATCAGCCATTGGGAGGAAGGAAGGAAACTTGGAGACAATTGTGTGTTTGTGTGCCTGTGCACGGGTGTGTGGGCCGGGGAATCTGACAAATATAGTGAGAAGTGATTAACAGTTCCCACCTTTCATTCTCTCACTGTCAGGACTTTTAATTAATTTTAACACTTGGCTCTGTGGGGAGGCACTTCCAGGGGGGAAATAATATGAAATGTTTTTATTTTTACAACATTTTTCCAGACCTAGGTAGTCCCTCATCTTGGCTTGTTCCATAATCCAACTGGTCAGCAGGATCACCCATATGTACAGTTAGTCAGAGCTAACTGAGCAGCCTCAGCCCCCACATAATATTGGAGATTAAAGGTGCTGTAGGAGCATATGTATTTCTTGATCTAACTGCAAGCCTTCAGCCTAAGTCCAAAGACCACCTGTAACCGGTATCCAGATTGTAACTCCTGTAAAAGCAATGTGTCCTAACAGCCTACAGAATGGGAAGGCCAAAGAAAAGGGGAGGCGGGGAAGAGAGAAAAGGGTCTTGCAAAAATAGGAAGAGAAGGGAGCAGCCTTACCCATCACAATAGGGACGGGGAGCCATGGCAATTTTTTTTTTTTAAAAAAAGGTCTCCCTATTTGAGGGACAGTTCTGGGATTGCTCTTAGACTGCTATAGTTCTCCTCCTGCTGGTCTGGACTCAGATGGGACTGGACCTTCTTTGTGATGATGCTGTATAGGTGAGATGGTCAACTGGAGCCCTTTTGGGAATCTCCTCTGTCTCAAACTTTTGAAAACTGGAAACACAGTTTACTGCCATTTGGAGGCACAAAATATATACAAACTATAATGTAACCGTAAAATAAGGAAACTTCCCCCCAAATTCTGGGAATATGTTTTCCTTGCTCCCTTCCATGTTTGCCATGGTCCCATCCATTTTGTATCATTGTCTCTCCCATTGTAGGCTTTCCTCTTCTAAGAACAGGTCAATGCAGCCCAGCACCTAAAAACTGTCTGCCATATTCTATGGCCAAGACTCTCCTTTGAGTACGGCAGGCCAAAGGTATTTTGCTACCTGGGCCAAAGGAAAAGTTTTAGACCCTCCCCTGCTCTACATGCAACGTACAGAAGCAGATCGAACTTACCAGTTAAATCTAATTTCAGTACGGTGATGACTGGACAAGCCTTCCCTTGTAGTTGATTAAAGGTTACACAGCAGAGTAGCTGAGAATATTCATGAATGATGGAAATCTTTTGCCATCTCAGCAACTGGCAGCTGAGGCAAATGCTTCCTTCTGTCTAATAATAGGGCCGGCACTCTCTTGATCTTGAGAATTATGTGGTTTGCTCATACGGCAAGACCTATAATGCTCTTGTTTTAAAGACAGCTTGAGTTTCAGAGAGGACAGCAGGCCCGTTGAATTGAAGATGGAACCACAGAACTGGGTACTGCCTACAGTACCTCCAAAAGTTGACAATGAATTGTACTTTTAAATGTGACCAGAGGAGAAATTTATTAAATATTTGGAACAAATACAAATTAACTAAATGTAATGAGTTACATTTAAATTAAAGCAAATGTAATTTCTGTCCTGGCTCTGCTCAGTTGAGCAAGCTATAATATGGTACAGTATAATTTGTAAATTATGTATATATACAGTATGTGTTTCCTGTGTTTTCTACCTAGTTGAAAGCTCCCAGGAATAAATGAACAATGAACAATTATAATTCAGAAATAAGAAAAGCAGGTGATTAAAAGTTACCCATACAATGGATCTGCTGCTTTCAAGCTTTTTACCTTCAGGAAAGTCTTTACATTAACTCATGCTCAATTTATATGGTATTCTAGCCAGAAATTCAGACTTTACTAACAGATTGTATTACTGGGGAAAATGTTCCCCCAAAACCTCTGCTGCTGCCTTGTATTGCAAGAGAAGATCAGCAATGATGAGCAAGCTGCCACTAAGAGAAGTCTGCTGTTATTAATTTTCTTGCTGAAGAACTAATAGATTTCTGAAGAATCACGCTTTGTGAAACTCTATGCTCTACAGAATATCTTTCCTCAATGTGGAATTCCTAGGATATGCTGAAACTGCATTTCTCAGAATTCCAGGCCACCAAGCTAACTGGAATTTTAGGAGTTGCAGTCTTAACAACTAACTGGAGGGTACTAGTTTGGAGAAAGCTGCCCTACCCAATTCCTCAGCCAAACAGCATGTGGCAAGGTGATGCAAATATGCCCCTCTGTAAAATTATTTAACTAATCTGAACAATTGAAAAATCTATTTCAAATTCAGAAGAGGTAGATCTTGACTAAATTATCTCCAATGAGCACTTTGGAAATCCTACATCACTTTAAATCTTAGAGTTCCTCAGCTTCCACGTATACTTCCATGTTCCAATTCTCTGGCCATTTTTAGAAACTCCTCCCCTGCCCCCCATGAAAATTGGAAAGGCTTTCTTACTTTTGCCGGAGATTGTTGAGATCCTCCAGCAAGTTGTCTTTCTCGATCTCCAACCGGGCTTTAGAGTTGGAGAGCTGGTCTACTTGGTGACGTAGCTCCCTCATCTCTTCCTGGTAAATGTCGGCCAACTTATTGGGCTCCTTGTCTCGGATTTGATTGAGTTCAGCCACAAGAACTTTGTTCTGTTGCTCCAGGAAGCGAACTTTTTCAATGTAGCTGGCAAAACGATCGTTCAGCTCCATCATTTCCACCTTTTCATTAGTGCGGGTCTCTTTGAATTCACTGTTGAGGGCATCCGCCAAAGAAAAATCCACCTTGTCAGAGGAGAACTTGGGGCCAGAATGGAAACTGAGCCTGGATGTCTTCAGCTTAGTGACAGAGAATTGGGTGGTGGGAGATGGAGAAAAGTATCTGCGGCCCGGCGAGAACCTCAGGGCATGGTGGACAGAGGTGGTTTGTGAGCCGAAGCGTCTTCCGTAGGATGAGAGTCTGTGTCCTTCCATGATCAAAATGTTTTTCCAGGCTCTGCAAACTCAGGCTTTTCTGTATGTGTGCTGTGCTGGGTTTTATGCAGAAGGATTAACCATCCCTGCCTGAGCATATGCCCGTGAAGGGCTGGAAGAGGGGGAGGAATGGGTTGCCTGCCAGGCTCCAACATATTTCATATTTACCATGCCAAGTGCCCTGTGCCCTGGCAAAGCAAGAAAAAGAAAGACATTAGGCAGGAGGCTTTGAGCATTCTTGATCAAAAAGAGAGAGAAAGCACTTGGATGATTTTGCCCACCTATGATGGCCACCATCTCCCTGCAACTCACATGTTAAGGCAGTGTGATGCTATCAAGAGGTATATCCCCTTGCTCACCCACCCGCACCCCCCACAACCATTAACCACCTCAGTTATCTGGGCCTAAGATATGAAGGAATAGGAAAGAGTTTCAGACTGAGGAAGTATAGCAAACTTGAGCAATGTTTTGGAATGTGAGTAGCATTGTCTGTCTTTTTCTCAGCAATCTACTGCATTTTCTTTAAGTATGCAAATGCCAGGAGTTTGATTCATCTCACAAGCAGACAGCTAAGGAAACTAATTAAACCAGATTTAAATTAAATGCCTTTTCAACTCTCTGACTGACTTTCAGTTCCAGCAGTTCCTTAAAGACAGGGTGAGACTGATCCTCCATGTTTTTAGATTTCTTTTCAATTCAAATTTGAGTTGGAGATACATCTGGTGCCATTAAGAGGAGACAAGGCTAACAAGAGTGGACACACAAGCAATCAATGGGTTAATTCAGTTTTATAAAGAGAAACCAGACTAGAACTTGCTTGGAAAATACTTCTATATACCTACTTAGCTTTCCCAAACCTGATGTTCTCAGGTTTTGAATGATAGCTCCCATCTTTCTTGGACGCCATCTTGGGGAAAGTTGCTTTTACTCAAGACCGATTCATTCTAATCTCCAAGGTATGTGGCCTGAGACAGGTCCTGCATGTGTCAGAACCATTCTCCTGCTTGAACAAGGTTAACAGCTAAATAGGGATAAATTGTACTTTAAATAACCAGTTTGATTTTCTAAGGATAAAAAGGAAGAAGAAGGCAAAAAGAACCACCAAGAATGAGAGTCACGTCATTGTAATGTAATGCTGACATTAACTGGACTCTTGCTTTCTGGCCTCCACTGGGATAAGTGGGTGGGCTGCAGACACAAGGCTGGTTGATCCCGAATAATAAATGACTGCGTTCACCCTGAAGGCACAAAGGATGTTAACACAATGTAGAGGAAGGAGATCATACTGCATTTTTTTCATTATGACTGCTATCATTTACATCCTTTAAAATCCCTCCTTCTGCCAATTAGATACTGTAGGGAAAAAAATGCAAAAAGATATTGTCCGTTAACAGTTTTACCCACATAAAACTGTTACCAGCCTTCTCCAAGAGACAGTAACTTAGTGTTACAGCATGCACTTTACATGAGAAAGTTTGGGTTCAATTCCCAAACTTCTTCATGTACAGTTCATTTGGACAAACTCTAGCCTGGAGCGTCACTGCCACTCAGGGTCTACAGTGCTGGACTAGATGAACCAGAAGGCTTCCTATCTTCCTGTATTTCCAGCTGTATCACTCTGAGCCACCACAGCCATTAGCTGTGTTGCCTGGAAGGGGGGTTAATTCAACAATCTGGAAGGGAATAAGGCTGGTGAAGGTCAATATAAAAAGGCATTGGTGAGTTTTCCATTTTCCTAGAAATTGGTCAAACCCAGATTTACTATGCAGCTCCACCTAAAAGCAGGGAGCAGGTGGGCCATAGAAAGATGTACAGGGAGTAGGAGTTGAAGTCCACACATCTTCAAGTTGTCAAGGTTGAGAAACACTGGAGTAGAGTAATTGAGCATCTTTCGGAGACACCTTTGCTTCTAGGTGGTGGACAGACCAATTACAGTGCATATTCATTTACTATATTGGTCAGGCCTTTCCCACCTCACTATCATACAGTACTGTCTTAACTGCAAATGGGTCTTGACACACCCAGTTCTCTGGCTGGGGAAGACTGGTAGAGTTTGGGCCAACAGCTTCTCTGCCTGCCACACCCCTGGTCTACAGCGATCTCCTCTTATTACAGCTCTTACTTAACTACCCCTCCCTCACCAATTTGTAAACAGTCCTGGCTGACCAGGCCCTGCGTCTCTCTGGAGCCAGAAGCAGACAGCCCCACAAAGGCCTTACTAATAGACCTGAGGCCACAGCATGAGCACTTTTCTTCGAATAGAAGGAGTTCTGTACTCAGTGCCCTGTCCCAAGCTGTCTGGTGTCATGCTCATCACAACAAGATTGATACCCACTTCCCAGCCCCACTGGTATTGCCAGGAAGACTGGGAATTGCTGCAGGAACACAGTGTCCTCGGGGAAGAAAGGACAAAACAAAGAAATCAAAGTTAATGGTGGAGAGGGAAAGGATTGTTGGAAACCTCTGCTGAAGAAAACTTTGAGGAACTAGAGATGGCCGAAGTGGTGTACAATCTAAGGATTGCATGCCCGCAAAAACTTCCATGTACACTTCTTAGATCACACACCACTTCAGGGGTCATGCTTTTACCTAGGCTGAAAGACACACTTCTTCCTTTCACCTTACTAGCTCTATGCCATTCTAAATATCAACTGACTAATAGTGCAGGGCCTAGGAGTTGCAACCCAAAATCATCTGTATTTGTTCACGTGAGTCTTTAATAGGATATCTTTGTATTCTCATCTACTGAGAATGGTCCTTCATTGGAAGGCTTATTTCGGCCATGCCCCAGGCAAGAGCCTTGCAGTTTCTTCTTCCTGGGTCTTTTCCTCCAAATGAGTATCTGAGGACATCCCCTGAGATAGCCTGACAAGAGTTTTCCACCATTCATGGCTCAACTGGCTTGAGACAGGATTTATTTTTTATCATAGGCATTTATCCATGACTTGATGACACTACTAAAACAGATTTCTCATGCAAAAGCCCTCAAAGTATGTTTATCCAAAGGTAAAAGTTAAATGAACACAGAGAGCAAAAGCAAAGATGGAGGAGGAGGAGGAGGAGGTCTTTTGGCTTTGGGGGGAAAGAGGGTTATTCTATTTTCAAATGCATTCCAGTCTGTCAGGGAAAGAATGTAATGTAAGCTGATGCTGTGGTCCTATTCTCCATGTTCATTCTTAGGTTTTTAAGTCCTGATTCGACTAGGTGATGAGGGAGATGGACCCCCAGAATTCAGAGTAACTGGAAGCTGACTGACTTATGTCCTCTCTGCCTGAATGTTACCCTTGATTTCAGCTGACAAACACCTTAGCTAATACATCCCTCAGCTGCTGCCACACTTCCCCCCTACTTGATCAAAAAAAACCCCCAAAACCTGAACTAAGGAAGTGCATCAGGCAAGGAGTTTGACTTCACTGGTACATTCTGAAGTGACTTTAGGTAGGACAGAAACTGCCTCATATAGTGATATAAACCAGACTGATACAAGTTGGGTCCTCAGTATGTTGGCCTGGAACTCCCAGAAAGTCTCAGCTTGCTTGAGGTTGGTTTAAAACTAAGCAGCAGATTCCAAGTTGTAATCTCAGCCTGCTAAACCAAATCTGGGCGACTGTCACTTGTAGCTGGTGATAAAGGAATCTTACAGCTGTTAGAGCAAGTGAACCATGTAGGATTAGCAAAACCTAAAAAAAAAAAAAATGAACATGTGGAAAAAACACAGCTTGAAAAACGACTTTATTACCTGACCATTTACATTTAAAAAAATAATTAAAAAAGGGAATCTGACCTGCATTAGCTTCCTTCATCACCTTTATTTCCAAGAATGCTTGTGTCCCAAATGGTATCCGTAAGCTTTCACAGAAAATAAAAACAACACACTGTTGTGATCCAGCACTTGGTTTGGATAGCCCTAGCAAAATGGCTGGGCTGGAGTTAGGCAAGTGGCAGGTAGATTCTGATAAACTGGTGCTTCATCAGCCATATTATGAACAGGGAACCCCCACTCCCATCAGCCATATTGTAGTACGCCCTACATGCCCTCAAATTCCAGATGGAGGTCCACCAACCCCAAGGATTGGGGGCCACCCCCCAATGAGGATATGACATTCCATGCTCATGTTCAATGACTTCGACACCACTCACTAGATTTTAAACAACTGAGACATGAGTCTTTAGTACTAACTGCCATACTACAGTAAATGTCACAAAAGTTGACCTAGAAAAGTACAGCATCAGGTGGTCTTCATGCCTCTGTACTCAAATCTTGCTGCTACATATATATTGGTGCCCTTATGCCACCCTATCTTATAACATGATTGTCCTGTGCACTGACACCCAGCCACACCCAAGTACCATAGTGACTAATTGCTATTCAGGAGAATTTTACAACCGTGTAACTATAGAACAGATTGTGGCTCCTCTTGTCCCTGGCTTATCTCCAGACTTAATTCCCTCTCTTTGCAACCCCCCCGCCCCATGCCCTGAGAATGAAGGTCAAGGCAGTTGTTTGCCAGCTTCAGAGTCTTTTAAGCCATGTCACCCATTGGAACCGAGAGAAAAGACTGTTGTTTGGCTGTTGGGCAAGAGTTGGATGCTTGAATAGGATGGCAGGGGGGAAGGAGGTGCCTCTGCATAGCAATTAAGTCTTCTTTATCCCACATGACTGGGGACCTGGCACATCTCTGGGGAACTACCTCTATAGCTCAGCCGGGTGTTTCAGCTCTGCAAAGTTCTGGGAAACAACGCAGCTTCAGCAACAGAGGAAGAGGATACTTGTAGAGGCCTGAAGACCCCTTGTAGTTTTTCTTTTAAATGAGATTCACTGTGGCAAGCAAGATAAGTCCATCAGGTATAGCAGTTGGAACACATTTTAAGCTGATTTCCCCATTCGGATGTAGCTGGGCTTATTATATTTTGCACTATGCATCTTTCCTCTCTTGCATCTAATCAGTAAACAGAGGTGCCCCCAGAGGATGGTCAAAAAGGTCAGATTGGTGGATGTG